AATATGATTTTTTTTAAGTGATAGGTTTTCAGGCATATTGTTCTTTTAAAAGATAAAGGCAAAAGAGGACCTTTTGTGGAAATGACATAGTAAGCATTTTTCCTCTAATCAAAGGCTTTAACAGTGTGCTTTTCATTCCTCCGTATGAGACAAAAAACTGTATTAAACGTATGTGTTTTGGAGTCAGGAGTCATGATCCAAAAGACACAGGGTGTGGGTGATGATAGCAGTTAAAAGCAGCAGTTGAAGGAAAAGAAACAAGCCCATCTCCTGTTTATAGCCATAGGAAGAGGTTGAAGAACCCACTAATTTTGTTATATTGTAAGGCTAAGATCACTTTGAGTGAGGCTGAGCCTTAACATCCTGGGGGTAAGGTTCAGGGTCTAAAACGCAATTCTCTTTACCTCTTGGGGAATGTTCACACCAGCTGTTTGTCATGAAAGACAAATTGATAAACCAGCTAATTAATTTCTGGTGGAAGGTATGCTTAACCCAAAATAGTAACTGACAAGCTTTCCCAGATCTCAATTTCTTTTATTACCTATTTAGAAAGGTTGCTTACCTTAAATCTTAATCTCATTTCCAATGTTTTATAGGTGGATTATTCCAGCCTCCTGACCTTGCCCCAGATTCCAGGGTGAATTCCATCTAGAGGTCTTTAGCCTTCTATTCAGTGACCCCACTCTCAATAGGGGCTGTTTCTAAAAGGCAGGATTTACAAATTAACTGTAGAAGCAAAGAATCTTTTTGAGCACAAGGCAAGAGAGAATTAGGACCTAAGAGAAGTACAAGTTAAGTTTTGAGTTTTTTATTAAATTCCGGAGACCAAGGTAAGATTGCTAGCATTCAATATTGTTAGGTATAGACATTTTTTGAAACTAATGTATGAACTAATACATTTTAATGCCAAAAAAGGTAGGAAAGAATCTGAGTATAAAGACAGTCTCTTAAATTGAATGAATTTAGATTTATGAAAAACTTGTAGAGTCATTATCTTTCTCTTTTCACCATTCTGGGGAAAGCTTTGTTATGAACTGTCATTGCCATTTATGAACCATTAGTATAAAATATATGCATATTGTAGAGTTTAAGGTCTCATGGAAGAAGGCACACATTTAGTCAGATGTTTAATATAGTATGGATAGTGCTACAGAGAGGAAAAGTCAAGGTGAGCTGAAGTCAGGGAAAACTTATGGAGGAGACTATTTTAACACACTAGGAAACATTTCTCATTTTTTTCATGTGGCTAGAATAAAGCATATCTATCCACTACCTATGGGTAGTGAACTAGGCAATCTATTCTGGACTTTTATCCGTCTTCTTATAGCAGAAATAAATTGTTTAGAACAAAGTAGATTATACATCATAAACTTTCTGTTCAATTATACATTTCCAGTAGGTATGTTTACTAACTGGCCTACGCATTAGATAAGATAGGAAATTACTTCCCTTGCTTTTTGTAGTTTTCATGTCAGTTTGGATTATACTTGGAAAGAATTTGATCTTTTTTTCCCTCTCTCTCTCTCTCTTTCATCCTAACTTCCCTCAGAGCATCTAACTGGCTCCAAACAGAGTCCTCGTACACAACCTCGAGATGAAGACTATGAAGGGGCCCCATGGAATTGTGACAGCTGCACCTTTCTCAACCATCCAGCACTAAATCGCTGTGAGCAGTGTGAGATGCCACGGTACACTTGAATTCAGAACAGTCTGCACCAGGTTGAGAGTAAAATGTTGAGCACCACCAGAAGAAAAGGAAACCTCGGGAATCTATTTATCTGCCCAGCCTTTTCATTTCTGATTGCACAGTGGGGAGGAGGAAGGGGCACTGTGGCTGCTGTGCTCACGAAAGGAAAAATGGGGAGGTTTCTTTTTTTCCTTTCTTAACTCATTGCAGAGTGAGAGACAGAAAGGGATACTTGAAACTAGGAAAGGATTCACTCCTGAAAGAATGTACACAGAGAAGTCAAGAGCTTGCCTGTGGAATCCCAATTGTTAAAGTTACTGCTGAGTGGCCCTTATTTTTTAAACTAGAACTTTGAATCATGGTATGAAATGTTACAGTTTATGCAGACAAACTGTGAATTCCCAGAGCAGACTTACCTGGTCACAGCTCTCTGGAAAACCAACGCTCCCCGTGCTCCTTTCCGTTGCTTCCTACTAAAGAGAAGGACAGGAAAAAGCACCCAGAATATGATTTTTTTGGGGGGGGGAGGCAAAATAATAAGGGTTTTTGTAATTGCTGCTTTTTTTCAGGGGTAATTTCCAACACACCTACATATACATAAACAATATGTTTTAAAATGTGATTTGTAGCAGTCAGGAATTAGGCATATCATGCCCTTTGTTTGAAAGTACAATCAGAGGTGATAAGATCCCTTTTGCTTGTACAGTGATTCATCAAGCTATATCAACACTGGTAACTAAGACCTACTATGCCACGTAAGAGATATATTTTTTAAGTTACTGCATGCTTTTATTAGGCCATCAGTTTTAAAAATAACAAAGAAGTCCTTACAACGTTTGATTTTATAGATGACATTTGCATAAAACTGCACTTTGCCAGTAGCACAGTGAATGTATGCCAAATGCAAGTCCATTCCAAAATCCATTTGGAAATCTTGAACTCAGCTGTGGTTCTTAAGAAATGTTTGCAGTCCATAGGGCCTTTTCTTTTTCCTCCTTCCAATTTTGTGATGGATTCATGATGTTTACAGCACAGATAATACTTTGTGCCATAATTCTAATTTAGCTGAAAAATAATCAATATTAGCTGTTCAATAAAGATTTGCACATACGTTACTAAACCAATGTGAGGCAAATTACAGTTGGCCAATAAAGTTGCACACTGCATTATTTGGGAAGCAAGAGAAGGATAGTCAAGAAATACTAAGAGAGAGATGAATACAGAGGACTTTGAAACAAAGAACTTTTAATATAACTGTATTCAGAGGTCATATTAAGTTTGCGCAGGCAGTTCAGGTAATAATAAAGCACTCCTTATCTGTGAAACAGAATTTCAGGGTGTGGGTAACTAAAGAGACATAAAATCATGTGACTCATTAGGGTGCATCACTGGAAAACTAGTAATAGCACATTTAATTAAGGTCTCTGCCATTGTTGAATTTCCTTCTTAGCTCAGAATTGGATTTTGGAATCTCCCTTCATTTTGGTGAACATAAACAGCAATAAAGTTGGTAGGTTTTCCCATCCTAAAGGATTTTACTGGAGGTTATAATCTTAGAAGTACCCACTCTCCCCTAGCGGGTGCCCCACTGTATGCATACACCCATCATGTTGCCATTGTATTCTAATTTAGCAGTAATCTGGCAGACCTGGAAAAACAAGCTGCTCTTAATAGCATAATGAAACCAAAGGCGTAATAACTCATCATAGTTTTCCATCAAAGTTGTAATTTCACACTCTGCCTACAGCTTTGAAAACATTTTTTCCTATGTGAAAAATTCCCGAAAATACATCCACTTGTCTCCCAAAGTAAGCGTGGTTATGTAATTACACTGATAAAACATCTCTCATGTAACAACTGTGGCAAAACTGTGAAAATAATGGTGAGAAAGCAGATGGGCTTAAAAGCATGGTCCTGAAAACAGCATTCTTTAAAGGCTTTTGTAACACTGATCTCTGTTAGTCTCCAGTAACAGTCTAGCCGTCCTACTGTTGTGTAATATGCCTTTGCCTTTGTATGGTTTCATATCTCTTTAGTGATGGTCAACCCCACTTGGGTTTAAGTTACAATTTAGGGGAATAATATATATATACTGCTTGGTGTTCTAGCTAAAAGGTTTACCAGTATTCATAGTGATATGCTGAAGCGGCAGCAATTAACTTGGCAGTTGTCAGTTGAGAATGAAAGTAGCATGTCTGAAAAGTCTGATGCTTTATCAAAACCATGTAGATGACTTTAAAACTATTGCATGAAAATACATCAAGGTTAATAAGCTGTTATCATACAGTAGATGCATGGTTTCAGTCCTTTGGTGATATATCTAGTCAATCATTGTTTTCACCTGCCAGGAAAAAAGAGAAAACAGTATTTGACAGGTGTAGAGGGTGGGGTATAGACATGAGAGATTGAATTTAAGGAAGTTTGCACACCTTAATTTTTAATCATGTATAAATTTCATATGCCAACATAGGCTGTATTCAGTTTTAAAAATAGGCAAAATGATTTGACACTGATAAATTTGATATGTTTAACTGTGTCCCATATGTAGACTCTTTCTTGCCTATGACCAATTTGAACAAGAATTCACCCAACTCTCAAGGTGCCTTTTCAAAAGGATGTCCTAGTCAGATTGGTATGCACAGACAATTGGCACACGAGTGGTAGGATATAAATTGGATGATGCCTGGCTGCTAAGGTGGCTATGCTCTTTGGATCAGTTGGTGCACTTCTTGTTTCTTGTAGGTGGTTTTCTTTCTTAAAACACGACTAATTTGATGTATCTGTAACATATAGACCTGACTATACATTTTACATTATTTCACTGTTTTGTAAACTGGGTTTTTAGAAGCACGTTTGCCATTCTGTTAAAGTACATTGCCCCCTTAAATTTTGGAGTAGTTCTTAAAAGCTTAAAGCGGTAATAGAGGAGCCAGAAACTTTCTAAGCAGTGTAAAGTGTTTTGAATTGATATTGACCTTGTTTGGGAGAGAGTAGCAGCAGGGGGTTTTAAAGCAAACAAAAGATGCATTGTAAAAATGTAGTTTTAGAGCAGATTAATGATGGTGGGGAAAGTGTTGCTAATTTGTGTTTATTTCCCTGGAAGAAATGGGAAGTGTGATAAGCAGTTTAATTTTTAAGGAGCTGGTCTCAATTTTAGTACTTTTTAATTATTAAAAGAAATCAATGTTTCTTTAAATTTTATCATTGCTTTGTCACAGTTGTCTAAGGTTCATATCCAACTTTCTGTGGCAACTCAATTTTATATAGTCTTTTAAAAGGTAATTGTAATGTCTGACAGTATAAACAAAAAGCAAGAATATAAGGCATAGAAGAATTGTCCTTTAAAAATATCAATGATGTATGCTGGAATGTGAAGATGTCCCTTTATAGTTAAAAATTGAATTACTTTAATATCGTACCATCATTAGACCCTGAACGAGTGTTTTTGTATATCTGTAGAGAAAGAAAAATGACAATTGAATTGTTACTTTTAAAAATCAGAATAAATCGGGCACTGTCTGTGTTGCACCACTACTGTATCTTTTTGAAAGAATTAACAGTATTTTCCTATGTAAAAGTTAATTCTGATGACATTTTCACATTCACCAGACATTTTTTTTCCTGTATTATTTGCATCCCCAAATATTTAATACAAATAGATTTTGCATGGCTTGGGCATTCAGAGATTAATAGAATGACTCAATTTTAATTTCTAAAGCCACGAAAAGTTGCTTTGAGACTGAACAATTCTGAAATCTTATTTATAATGACACTTAGTGTCCATGTTTCTTTCCCTACTGTATAAGAATTGATCAGTTTCTTCATTAAAGCAGCAAGAACTTATTAAATCTTGTAAATACCATGTCTCTCTTAAATTTCCATGTATGCTGTGAATGAAATTATTTTGAGATGAGATTGTACAAAGGCATTTTAAAAGGCTGTGCATGCATCGTACCTCCAAACAGTACATATTCGGAAAGTCAAAGGTTCCTGCAAAATAAATTAATAAACTAAAAGCAAACACTACATTCTGCATCTTTTCTGTGTAGTTGGAAATAATGTACAGTATCAAACTAGTCCTAGTTCTAACACTCCTGTTTCTGAACTGAAATATACTGTCTCACAAACCTAATCATTCATCACATTTGTCTTTATTAGAACATGTAGTAATGTTAGATTTGGGGTAAGTATCAAGTGCTCATTACTCTGATTTGAAACTTCGGTAAAAGTTTATATAAGCAGGTCTTATATAAAAGTTGGAATATGTTAGGAACTTATACTTTTCATTCCACTTCAATGTAATTTACAAAAGAATGGGTAATTTTCTTTTTTAAAATCTTTGTCATTTCAAAGACAATAATCAGGTTCTTACACTCATCTTGCTAGGGTCTATAGTAAACCTTACCACCTTTTGCACAGAAATCACCACAAATGAATTATAGTAGATAACCTGTAGTGATTAAGCACATTTAAATTCAAAGTCGTTTCTACTACATTTTTTTAACATATGAAAAATTGCAAACATACACAAGGACAGAAAAATTGTATCACAATCCCCATTTACTTCCAAAATTATCTGGGTATAAGCACTCTTATCTGTATTCTCATTGCCTCCCCCACCCCTTGGATTATTTTGAAACAAATCTCAGACATTTCATTTGTAAATGAACTTAACCTAAACACAGTATACTCATCACACCTTACAAAATTAATGTTTTTAATGTCAAATATCCATTGTTAAATGTCTCCGATAGTCTCATGGATTTTTTTTATGAGCTTATCCAAATTAGGGTCTAAACAGAATACTTGATTTATGTCTCTTAAATCTTTGATCTATCTACCTATGCATTCTCATTCTGTCAGAAACCCACAGTCCTTTATTAACTGGAATATTTTTATAAGGAAACTCCCTCATGTACTGTTTAGTTACCCTCCACACCACATCTAACAGTTAAATAATGCATACAATGTGAAAGACACAACTTTTAAAATACCCTGGGTTGTCCCTTTTAAATGATTTATTTAGAAATAGAAAAATACTTCAAATCTGTTTGTGTACCACAATAATGGTTCACTATGGTGCTCATTTTCATAGAGACACATCTGTAAGGACTATTTATCTGTAATCCCATTATCAATATAATGATTTCTCTTTAGGTATTGACCAGCTCAGTTTTCCATACTGAAGATTGGGGGACTGTTGTGTGGGGGGTGTCCATTGTCTCTCACCTGCATTCCTCCAAAGACTTCCTCACTTTGTCCTGTTGGCCTTTTTCTAGGACATTGACCAGGTAATGTTTTATCATGAAAATTTCAAAGATATTAATAGGATATATAATATGTGGGTGAGATTTCACAAATTTTCCAGATTCTCAGAGCAATCAAACCATCTCACATGTCCTACCCTCGTGAACACTGGTGGTGGGTGTACTTTTGACCACCCTTTCATGACATGACAGTGATAAGAAATATGTAGTGCAGGAAAAGTCAAGTAATGCAGCCTAGCTTCCTAGAGTTTTGCATTGTGGTTTAGGGACAAGAATGCTAATTACTATGATATACATTACTTTGCTTTCTTCTGATTTATTTGTGCATTTTGCTCTGGGGGACCGAGACAATTTTCAGGTAATTCCATTCCCTTGGTCAAGACTGCTAACATTTAGAGCCATTTCTAAATTCCATCCCCCAATTCCGCTTTCCTTTACATCACTAAGAATATTCTGATTTGGGTGTGCATGATTCAAGAAAGATCTTTATCTGAAAGATATTTGGGGTTAGGAGGATTAGCATTATTGGATTAGCGTATTGAAATAGCTTGCATTCCCTATACACTCTATTTGACATCAAATGGTCACACGTGGCAGGGGACTCTGATTTCAAGATTACAATTTGAGTTTCTCTTTCTAAATTCCACTGACTTAAAAAAAACTTTTTTTTTTTTTTTTTTTTTGAGACAGAGTCTCACTCTTTTGCCCGGGCTAGAGTGAGTGCCGTGGCGTCATCCTAGCTCACAGCAACCTCAAACTCCTGGGCTCAAGCGATCCTCCTGCCTCAGCCTCCCAAGTAGCTGGGACTACAGGCATGCGCCACCATGCCCAGCTAATTTTTTCTATATATTTTTAGTTGTCCAATTAATTTCTTTCTAATTTTAGTAGAGACGGGGTCTCGCTCTTGCTCAGGCTGGTCTTGAACTCCTGAGCTCAAACAATCCGCCCGCCTCGGCCTCCCAGAGAGCTAGGATTACAGGTGTGAGCCACCGCGCCCGGCCAAAGAACAACATTTTTAAGGGTTGGAGAACAGGAAAGTGTTCTCCCAGGGTCAGAAATGACAGAAAGTGATGGAGATTAGCTGCAGAGTATAGTAGCAGCCCGTGTCGGCTAGCCCACAATTCCAGCCACCAGTGAAGGTTAACTGCAAAGCAAATTGACGGGGTTCCCCAACTGAGCTGATGAAGACCTTCAAACTCTGAGCAGTGAACAAACAGAAGGATCTGTGTGCTGGACAGGAAGCATGCAGATTGCAGCATTTGCTTTCTGGCTCACTGGGCACCATAGTTCACTGAATAAGGAAACCACTTAATGGAATGGTTTGGCCACCTAGTTAAGGGGCTATAAGGCACCAAGTAACTTTAAGCTGCCACAATGAACGTAGAGGACAAGCTTGCTTGGTCCAGCTGAGGATTCCAGAAAGCAGTTTTCAGCCCTACAATAAACACCTAAAACACCACCTGTTACCTGCATACTGAGTGTCTGAAAACAAATGTTTAGCAAAGCACTGAACTTCCCAATCTTTCCAATACTTTTAATCAAGTAATTTCCAACCAAAAAAAATAAAACTACAGAAGAAAAGTAGAAAACTTTTTGCTTTCCTTTTTATAAATAGTTAAAAGATTTGAGCAATATGACCCATGTGGTATTTTTAAAAATTATTTAAAAATCAAACATATGGGAAGATGTAGTATTCTGAAAAAAGAATTTCATTCTATAGAATCAGAACAGAAAATAAATATTTATTTACTTACTTTTGGGACGAGGTCTCGCTCTGTCACACAGGCTAGAGTGCAGTGGCATCATCACAGTTCACTACAGCCTCAAATTCCTGAGCGCAAGTGATCCTCCTGCCTCAGGCTCCCAAGTAGCTGGGACTACAGGTGTGTGCCGCCACACCCAGCTAATTTTTCTATTTTTTTGTAGAAACAGGGTCTCGCTCTTGCTCAGGCTGGTCTTGAACTCCTGGCCTCAAGCAATCCTCCCGCCTCGGCCTCCCAAAGTGCTGGGATTACAGGTGTGAGCCACCCTGAGCCTGGCCTAAAAACTAATTTGAATTCCAAACAATTTACAATGATGTATCTCTTAAAAAGTCACAATTAGATCAGGAAAGGTTGCTTTCAAATGAAAACTAAGTTTTATTAAATTTTGAAATATAGGTAGTGAACTTCAGAAAACTGAGTCAACAGAGATTCTAGAATTCAGAGGAAAGTGATAATGAGATGAAGGGCTGACACATAATAAATAGGAATTCTAGACCTAGGAGATGCAATAAGGAATACCAGAAGAAAAAAACACACACACACACAGCAGTTAGGAGAGAAGCAATAAAGACATAAGAAAAATGGGGGCAAGAGGATTGAAAAAATATTACCTACAAAGGTAAACAATAAAGGTGACATCAGGCCGGGTGTGGTGGCTCACACCTGTAATCCTAGCACCCTGGGAGGCCGAAGTGGAAGGATCGCTGAAGGTCAGGAGTTCAAGACCAGCCTGAGCAAGAGCGAGACCCCGTCCCTACTAAAAATAAAAAGAATTTAGCTGGACAACTAAAAATATATAGAAAAAATTAGCCCGTCATGGTGGCACATGCCTGTAGTCCCAGCTACTCGGGAGGCTGAGGCAGGAGGATTGCTTGAGCCCAGGAGTTTGAGGTTGCTGTGAGATAGGCTGATGGCACGGCACTCCAGGCAACAGAGCGACACTCTGTCTCAAAGACAAATAAATAAATAAAAATAAAGGCGACATCAGAATTCTCCTGAATCTTTGTGTAAAATTTGAACACAACTGATTTTGACATGCAAAATAGACAAACTGAATATTCTAATCAACTTAAATCTCCGTATAATGAAACTTTATTCCTCACAGGAACTAAAGGTTCTTTAAAATGTCCGCCAAACATTTACCCCTCCCCCCCAAAAAATTAAGAAAACCTCAATTTCTAAAAACGATTATACAGACCACATTTTTCTGACTGTAAGGCATTAAAACTAAAGATCACTAAAACAAATCAAGCCACCTGAAAATTTAAAAATCTCTTCTAAATAACTTGATTCAAAAATGGCATAAAAAATAAAGTCAGATTTAATTCAGGCAAATCCTCAACAAGAGGCTGTAGCAAAGACATTATCTCAAACTAAAAAGATTTTCATGAAGTGCTGGATTTTATCAAATGCTTTTTCTGCATCTATTAAGATGATCATATGGTTTTTTATTTGTTTATGTGGTAAATCACATTTATGGATTTGTGTATGTTGAACCATCTTTGTATTCCTGGCATGAAACCCACTTGATCACAGTGAATTATCTTTTTGATGTGCTGTTGGATTCAGTTTGCTAGTATTTTATTGAGAATTTTTGCATCTATGTTCATGAGGGGTATTGGTCTGTAGTTTTCTTTTTGTTGTTGTTGTGTCCTTTCCTGGCTTTGGTATTAGGGTGATACTGGCTTCATAGAATGCGTTTGGGAGGATCCCTTCCTTCTCGATTTTATGGAACAGTTTCAGTAAGATAGATGCCAGTTCTTCTTTATAGATCTGGTACAATTTGGCGGTGAATCCAACTGGTCCTGGACTTTTGTTATTGTTGTTGGGAGTTTTTTAATTACTGTTTCAATCTCACTACTCATCATTGGTCTGTTCAGGATTTCTATTTCTTCCTGATTCAAGTTTGGGAGGTTGTGTGTTGCCAAAAATTTATCCATTTCCTCTAGATTTTCTAGTTCATATGCATAGAGGTTTTCATAGTAGTCTCAGATAT